TCCATTAAGTGTACATAACATAATATTCATCCAAAAATAAGAAATATATTAAAATTAGTATGATGACCTGATTGAAAATTTAGGGTGAATATTATTTACTACCTAATCAATTTTGTTGTTGTTTGCTGGTGTTCGTTTAGCAAACAGTAGGCTTAAGAAAAATGTACTGTTGAAAATTAAAACTGAGAATGTTATATGCATTAATTTGTTTCTCATGGACTGAGAAAAGGCTGCCTTTATTCGATTTTAATGGGAGAACACTTTGAAAATCTAGAACACACCATTTCATAATTGCTGCCCTGACACATGGAGTCCACCGGGAGGGTTAAAAATATTCTGAACCACATCAAGTGAACAAGGCATTTATGGCACTGCCTAACACATGTAAAAGGTAACATGCCTACAACCAAATTGTTTGCTTCTCATGATCAGACAGTTATCCAGGTCTGATATAATTTTGCTGATGAACTTTCGTGCCTACTTGCAATGAGGTATCCTAGGAATATCACCAACTCTTTAACAGTGAGGAGTCCTGAATAAGGGATCTGAAAGTCCTTGTGAGAAGGAAATTTGAAGGAAAACATGGGCACAGTGACCGCAGTGCAGTCCCCGGCTTCACTATAGGTCACTGATCACCCACTGTGTTTACAGCTTAAGACGAACACCAAACAAATAAGAGACAAACTCCACACTCTTCCCCTGCTCCCAACAAAATCCCAAAATAACTCCCACCATGAGCAAGGAAAACAATTTTTTTTAACTGGTACCCTAGCTTACAATACATATTTTTTAGAAAGCTCAACCAAGGTATCCTGTGGACAAAGAAGTGTTCTAGAACATGAGTACTCTGAAACCTATGAAAACACTTATCTGTGATATATGCCACAGAAAGTGATAAACCACAGAAAGTGATAAACAAGTGTGGCTGACTGAGAGTGACAAATCCAGGCTATCAAGACCTTGGAGTCCATCAAGTATTTGATATCTACTGCAATACTTTTTGTTAACTACTTTATTTTAATTTACTGAGAGACCCTTTTGAAAGACTGGTGATATTAACAGTCTTTTAGATTTGTTGATGATAACCTCTGGCCTTAAAAACAATATTGATGCAACTTATCAAGGATGAAATTTCCCAGAGAAGCAAACAAGCTTCAACCACCACTTTCTTTAAAAGCAGCTTTGAACATTTAATATGGCTGTATGGATAATTTTAATAGATCATATCATTTGTTTGGCCATTTAGCCTAAGAGCAACAGCATTTACCTGATTTAGCATTCCTTTACTTTTTTTTAAATAATCTATAATAATTATAGATTCACAAGAAATTGCAAAAATAGTATAGAGAGGTCCCATGTAATCATCACTCAGCTTCCTCTAGGGGAGGAAGATGTTAATCGCCCGTAACTTTAGTGCACGTCAAGAGCAGAAAATCAACATCAGCAAACTACAATGAACAAAGCTACCAAGTATTTCTATTCAACATTTTAAAACCTGAAGTATGATATAGGCAGAGAAGTGCACGTGTAAGCTTGATGAATTTCCACAGATCGAGTGCGCCCATGGAACCAGAACTCTAACAAGAAGCAGAAAAATGCCAGCACTCCATCGTCACCCTTCCCATCCACCCCCTCACGATTTCTAACAGCACATAGTAGCACTGCTTTTATTGTATTTGTAAAAATAGAGTCACACTGCATATTACATTCTCTTCTGTGTCTGCCTCCTTTTGCTCCACATGATGTTGGTGAGATTCATACATATTCCATGAGTAGGAGCAGACTGTTCATTCTGCGTTACAGTATCCCATGGTGCGAACATACCATCAGTAACCTAGGCAACCTACTACTGATGGGCAGGTGGGGAGTTTCCGGTTTTGAGCTCTCATGAATTATGTTTCTAAAAGTATCCAAGTACATGTCATATGCATTTGTGTTGGGTGTGGACTATAGTAGGTTGGAACTGCTGCTGGGTCCTAAGGTATGTGTTTGCCCAGCTTTAGTGGATACTGCCACTTAGGTTTCCAAAGGGGGTGAATTAATTGACACTCCCACCAGCAATGTGTATGAGTTCCATCGATCCACATCTTTTTCAATTTACCCATTCTGGTGGATATTTGGCACATGTTTTGGAAAGGAGAATTATAGAGCTAAACATCAAACAGAATACTGGTGGTATAATCAAAGCAATAGTTTTCCTCCAAATAATCAAGACTCTACCTAAAGTATTTTACAAAGCAAAACAATCTAAAATTCCAAAATTGCTCTTAAAATATTATCTTCTTTAATTAAATCATCCTGAGTTGGTAT